CCAAATCATCAACCCCAGGGAGCCCAGCGCGGAGAGCAGGCCAGCCTGAATGGAGTGAGTGACCACATGAACCTAGGCCCCTGCAGGCGTCACAAACATGCAAAGTGCAAAACTGGCATAGACTTTCTTCAGGTGCTGCTGTGTCGAGGGGGTTATGTGGGAAAATTTTAAGAGAGCATCAAAGTTGATCTTTCGATCAAATATGTTCATGGTGCCAGAGTCTGTGGGACACGGCCTCCACTCTAATACAAGAGAACACACCTTTTCCAATACCGGATATGCTTCTGAGTAGATGTGTTTTATGTGCAAAGCTGTTACGGATACTATGACTTCCTCATTGATTAGCATTTCTGAACTCAGATGTCTACACAGTTGGTCATTGCCTGAATGGACATTATGTGGTACACAACTGTATTTTTACATTTATATTTATTGTATTGTATTGTATTGAATTGTATTCTGTTCTGTTCTATTCTATTCTAACAAAGCCTCAAGAAGCCTCATATAATCACTGTACACAGTGCTTTTATAATAGATACTGTATCAAATACTACTTTTCACAATGGCTCTTACTGTTAAATATTGTCCTTTTTGTTATGTGCTATTGAGTTGGAACCAACCCATAGGACTCTCTAGTAGGTTTTTAGAGGCAGCAAATTGTATGGGAGATTTCTTTTCTTCCTGTGGAGCAGCTGGTGGATTCAGCCTGTGTGACTTTGGGATTGCAGTGCAGCTCCTTACCACTAGGCCACCAGAACTCCCTGGTAAACATTCATCTCTCTTTTTAATGAAAAAATAAAGTATTATATAACAGCAAATTAGTAGATAAGCAAAACTCTCCCCAACAAATTACATCTAAGACTTAGTAACATGAACTAGAAACGGCGTTCTTAGTAACAGCATTCGTTCTCTGTTACCTGACAGCCAAAAGAACAGACAGATATGTCTTGGAGAAGGCGTAGCCAGAGTGCTTCATGGAGGCAAAAATGATTAGGCTTTGTCTCACATACTTTGGGCATATTGGTAGGAGAGGTTATGACTTGGAGAGGGACATCATGCTTGGGAAGGTGGAGGGGCAGAGAAAGAGAGGAAGATCCTTGACCAGGTGGATTATTGACACGGTGACTTGTGCAATGAGCTTGCGTGTGTCAGAGTATGAGGATGGCACAAGATAAGGCAGTGTTCAGATCCGCTGTTCACAGGGTCACTCTGAGTCACACTTGACTCAACAGCACCTACCAACAACAACAACAACAACCTTGAGGGGTTAGAATTTAAATCACTTACCTTGTTTTTGTTCTCTCCTCAGAGCATCTTCAACCAGTCTTTTATTAATGCTCTCTATATCAGTCCGACTACAGTTTCTCACTTGTTCTTCCTCCTGCTTTAAAAGATGAAAAAAAGAAATGAAAAAAAAATTATACAAACTTTGTAAATAAATCAGT